AGCTTGTGCGCGCCGCCGCCTCCCTCACCAACCCCCCAGACATCCGACGCTGTAGCTCTCCAGGGGTCGGGAGCCTTTCCCAGGGACCGACTTCTCGCCCTGCGCCGTTTTTGACAATCCTGAAGGGCACTGGGAAGGGCCCCGGGAGGCCGAAGACGGCGACAAAGTATTTCGTCGCGATATAGTTTCGCGACGCGAGGATCGGCGACTCCGAAGGGTGTGGTTTGCAAAGGGCGCGGTTTGCAACCCGTGCCCTGGGGGGCGGGCGAGAACCTCGGCGGAGTTCTCCGCCACACCCCGTCAAGGCCCGACGAAGGCAACGTGGTGTCCCCCGAGCCCCAACAACGCAGATCGTAGCGTAACCACATCCTTTGTAGCCGCCAAGAGGCCGAAGACGGCGACACGGCCTCTTCTTGGCCTCCAGAGGCCGTCTTTGGGACCTCTCTGGGCAATCGAGGGTCCCTGAGCGTTTGGGGGGGTCTTGGACGTCTCTGAGGCCATCTTGTGGCCGTCTTTTTGGGGGCCGCTAGGGACCGTCTTGGGATGCCCGTTGGCCGTTGCGATGTCTTGTCGCGACGCGAAGAAAACTGGGCCCAAGGCCAGACTACTGGCCGACACGGAAACGGAGGAGGATCAGGAGCGTTCGGGGGACAGGCAGCAGGCTGATGTTGACTAAGGCGAGGGGCGGGGATCCTACTCGGTCGAGGCAGCGATTGTTTCACGGTGCGCTGTTTTTGTCACGACGCGAAGAGATCTGGGCCAGCGGAGGCCCAGCCGGGCCGCCGCTCCCGGGACAGCACCGTGGCGCTGGTGCCCGCTGCCCTGCACAGGGCGCCCTGGCCGTACACGTCCCTGGGGGGGGCGGTGGGCGCGGCTGCGCGGGAGGGGGGGGACTCGCGCTCGTCGGCAGCCGTCCCACCGCGGCAGGGGAGGGGAGGAGGAGGGAGGAGGAGGAGGAGGAGGAGGAGGACTTGTTTTAACGCTACAGGTGCATTCGTTCGCCGTCCAGCCAGAAAACATGTGACCATGGATACCCGGGCGGACGGGGTAATTAGGAAGATGAAGAGGGGGGAGAGGAGGATAAGAAGGACTGGGAGGAGGAGAGAAGAGAATGAGGAGCAGAAGAAAGGATGAGGATAATGAAGAGAGAGGGGGGTAAGAGGATGTATATATATATATATGTATACACTAGAACCACGCGCGCATTTCGCCCGCCTAACTTCTAGCGCAATACAAGCCAACCACACAAGACCGAATGAGGATTCCCATCATTCCGCAAGGGTCACCAGAATACTTCCTGGTGGATGCTTCAGGAGGCGCTGAATAAGGCTCCGGGAAGTCGCGCAAGACATCCAAGAGAAGGACACAGGGCAGCCTAAGTTTCGTTCCGATAAGTTAGCGGGATATGCTCGAACATAGTTTCAGGGAATATTATATACATAACAGTTTAGTTATGCAGGAGTGGGAAGCCTTCGCATGATTTACATCAGCACCAGAGGTGACATTCAACAATTAAGAACGAGATCGAGGGATACAATTGCGAATGTCCAACGATCATGGGGATAATGCGGTTTCTTCAATACATTTGGGCGCACGTATTTTGCGGCATTCAAGTTTGAGTCAGGATCAAACTAGGATTAGACTATTGTCTTACGGGGCGAAGTTTGCTCGAGACGATTCGTCGAGGACTCTGTCACAACGAAACGCGTTCATAATGAGCGAATGAATGTGAGCCCTAAGAGCCTGGCCAAACCATGCTGGGAGGCTTGTTCGAATGTCTTTGGGGGACGTTCTTAAAAGAGCTATTGGGGGTGTCTGGGGGGTTTGGCATCTCCGGTGTTTGGGGTCGCCTGGTGGCCTCTTGAGACTTTTTTGGGGCGCTTCGGGGGCCTCCTGGGACTCTTGGCACCTGGCCTTAAAATGTCGGCTAGGATCCCCGCTATTGCCCCTGTCTTGGGGCCGTCTTGAGGGCCTCTTGGGCCGTCGAGGCGACATCTTGAGCCGTCTTGGCGCTCTCTTCGGTCGTATTCGGGCCGTCGCGGGGAACTCTTGGGCTGTCTTGGTGCTGCCTTGGGGACCTCTTGGGCCGTCTTGGAGCCCTGTAGGATTGAAACAAACATGAGGGATGCTGAGAGGAATGCGTGAAGGAAAGATGCGGAAAATGAGGAAGGAGGGAAGATGGCGCAGCGGAGGGGAGGGAGCAGAGGGTGGAACGGGAGACGGAAATGAACCAAAAACAACAGAAATATCAACAAGAACGGACAGCGATGGATGGGGAAAACGGAAACACACTCGGGGGCAATGCAAAACGCCTGGGCAAGGAGGGAAAGGTGAGGGGTCGACCTCGAAAAAATGAGTTTGAGGGAATTCCCTTTGTTTTCAAGCTGGGCCTCCTACTACTTCGTGGGGCAAGGTGCGGGATGAGGGCAGCGGAAGGAGGAAAGATTCAAAGAGAGATGCGGATGAGGGAAGGGGGAGACGGAAACGCAGAAAATGCGTGAAGGAGAGCCGAGGAGGAGGGAGCAGGACAAATGACGCAGCGGGGAGGCGTGAGGAGGAGAAAAAAGAGAAAGAGGTGGAACGGGAGACGGAAGAGAACGAAGAGCAGGAGAGAAAACAACGAGAGCTGACAACGGGGGATGGGGAAAACCTGAACGCACTCTGGGGCACGCCAAACCCTGGGACAGGAGGCAACGGATAGGGGGATCGACCTTGAAAAAACAGATTGAAGGTACTTGCCTTTTTGAAAGTCGGGTCTAGAGGGCCCCACGGGCACCCAAGATCGCCCCAAAAGGCGTCCAAAAGTCCCCCCTAAGAGCTCTGGGGGACCTCCCGAAATTCCAAAACATTGAACCACCAGGAGTGAAGGAGAAACGAGGAGGAAGGAAGAGTGAAAAGGGCGCAGCGGGGAGGAGGAACGGGGGAGAGGAAGGAAAATGACGTGGAATGGACGGGAAACGCAGGAGAACCAAACACGAAGGAGAGATCACAGAGAACGAACAGCGAGGGGTGGCGGAGACAGAAGCGCACGAAGGAGGCGGAGAGAGGAAGGCGTGAAGGAGAGACGAGGAAGAGTGAGGAGGGAAAATAAGGCAACGGGGAGGATGGAAGAGAAGAGAAAAAAAACAAAAAAAACAAAAAACGTCGAACGGAAAACGGAAGGAAACCAAAAACAAGAAACAGCGATCGAACATAATGGGCTGCGAAGGATGGGGAGCCCCGTCGACGTCGTATCTGATGGTCTCTGTTTTCGGGGGCTTCTAGGGGGTTCGCAAGGCCTTTTTACGGCCTCGTGGCCTTTTCGGGCGCCTCTTAAGTGCCTCGTGGGGCCTATTGGAAGAACCTTGGATGTCTTTGGGGCGTTCAGGGAGCCAACTTGGTTGGGTCCGTCCCATGGTATACCGACGGTATATTGGATACCCCATGGAGGCCCTCTCCGGGCGTTTCCAGGACCTGTTGGGCCCTGGTGGGGGCACCGTGAGCTCGAAAACGACCCAAGATCGCATCAGGACGGCCGTTCAGCGCCTCCCCTATCTGGAAGCTCTGGGATCGCCATGAGCGCATCAAGTCGTCTAGGGAGTGGGAAGTAAAGGTTTAGGCCTTGACCAAGAAGTACTATACTAGGATAACGTCGGCGGCGCATCGAGACCTCCCGCAATTCACCCCTAAATTGGCAAGCGAGCCGAAAAGGTAAGATATAAGCCGTGAGATGGAGAATCGGATCATAGACAGACGTGGCCAGTGGTCTCTGTCTGATAAAATGCTCCAGTGCTCCAGAACGAATCGCACGCACTCGTAGAACTGGCATCTACGATTGCGCAATATCGAGCTCTTTTCAAGTCGGGAGGAGAGGGGCCGAGCGCTAGATCAAAGTCCGAATGAGTTATATAAAGTGAAGAAGATGGGCGGGGATCTTGTTTTTCAACACCCCTGACAGTGCGCAGGCAAGTAACTGAAAAAACAACACAGATTATTAGGGCCGAGCAAGGGCAAAACCCTGTGTTCAGCCGCAGATAATTATGGACGGCCGCAAGCAAGACCGCGCGACCAAATGCCGGCCAAATGCCAGCCGTCAAAGCGCGCGGCGCGCGAGGGACTGTGGCCCGCCGGATAGACCCCCTCAAGAACTGAAAAAGTAAAAGGACCGTGCACGGGCTGTCGCATGAGCTGCGAAGGTACACGCCCGTCGCCAGACAAGGAGAACTACGCGCAAGCGTTTGGGTAGTCATCCTCACGCCTATCCGCTAGCCCTGAGTAGGGTACCCTTATGTTGGCGCTGTCTCTGCCTTGTTTCGACAAGGCATGTACTTCTTTACGTCATCTTTGAAGCGCTGATTGCCTTCCATAACTTGCCGCAGCGACGCCCGATCAATGCGCCCTCTGTCATGCCCCGCGCATCGCGCCACTGCGCGCTATGAACAATACCTCGACCCATCATTTGCCTCATCCAGCTGACGCGCCCCAGCAGGGCGCGCTCGGCCAGCCTCTTCCAGTCCTCACCTGACAGGGTTTTAAAAGGCCGACTCAGCGCCCATGGTAAGGACGGACTCACTGCTGAGACCACCCGACTCTAAAAAATTATGTTGTTGACTGGGGGGCCCCATCTTTAAGCTCATGTAGCGTGACTGTGGTGGGGTGGCAGCGGTCTGGATTACGCGCGGCTGTCGCTGTTTCAGCTGGGTAGCTGGAACGCACCTGCAAGCGATGTGACTTGCAGCATGCGCCGATCAGATGCACTACTGCCTCGTCGCTAGGCGCGTGTCCGCGCAGTAGAAAGCCCGGCCCCATCGGGCGCCAAATCCTTTACTTCGTCGTCTTCGCCCCCATTAAGGCAGCGATGTCTGGAGTCACCGCGAAGGTCCACTTCTCCGGTCGCAGTCATAAGCTGCTATATGATTTTCATTTGACCTCGCTGAAGTACGCGCGCGACGGCGCAAGTCTTCGCGTAGGGGGGTTCGCGGGCGCCCGAACTCGCAAAAGCGACGCGCGCGCCGTCGACCGCGCCGGAGCGATTGACGCGCGCGCCAAGGCCCCGCGTAAAACTGACGAACGCGTGGGATGCTGTCTTCGCTGCTTGGGGCGAAGCTTTTTTATATCTCCATTCTGGTCTGGCTAGACGCGGCCGCCCTGGGTCTCAGCGTAGCGCACGGCGAACTTGGCGTAGCAGTGAAAATTCAGTTAGCATGCGCCGAACGTACTTTCTTCACATGTGACGTACTTGTCTGTGGCGTCCTCCACTCCTGCTATGTTTATGTCATCGCCGCGCCCGGCTGTTAAGAGGCTTGGGCCTGTCTCGAATCCCTCATCGCATGACGTGAGTTTCTGCCCGAAGCCTCCCGCGATGGCCCTGAGCTTCAATGAGAATGCCCCAGGGGCATATGCGGCGCCTGCGTCTGGCATAAGACACTGCAAACAGAGCTTTGACTCGCCGGGCAGTGCGCGCAGCACCGAAGCTGAACCACGTGGAAGAGTAGAGCAGACAATGCGCTCTTTCCCTTCAGTGGCTTCTGTCTGCCAGCACACGACAGGTCGGGCCCTTCCAGCAAGCTTTATCGACGTCCGTGAACGCAGTGATCCACTGTTTCTCGCGCACAGCCGCGCAGGCAAGCAGTCTCTGGCTTGCTCGACGAGCTGAAAGTGGGAAGGCTTCTACGTCGGATGCTTCGACGCCCCTAAAGCCACGAAGAACAAGGCGTAATCGCAAAATCCGTTCCATCACGCCTTTGTCGTTCTTGAGAAACTTCCGTCTACGCGTATCTAGATGTCATGCTGTTGGTAACAGTCTTGAGTCCTGCATCTTGAAGCATTTATTCTCGTGCCGCATGTTGAATTCCGTGTACAACGCCATGGAG